TAACACATGTATAAATTATTGTGACCATCACCACAATTCTGATACAGGACAGTTCCATGCTCCAAAGAATGAATCACATCTTCCCCATTCCTAACCTTGGCAACCACTGATCTGCTCTTAATCATATATTTTTGTCTTTTCAATAATGAGATCATGTAGTATGTAACCTTTCACCACTGGCTTTTACTCAGCATAATGCCTTTGAGATTCCTCTAAGTTGCTCAGTGTATCAGTAGTTCATTACTTCTTATCACCAAGTAGTATTCTATTCTGTGGCTGTACTACAATTTATTCAGTCACCCATTGAAGGAATTTTGGGTTGTTTCCAGTTTGGGCACTTACAAATAGAGCTGCTAAAAACATTTACATATAGGCTTTTATGTGACCGTAAGTTTTGTTTCTCCAGAATATAATTTACTTACTAATTACATTTATCTCTTTTTTTTGCATTGTTTGTTTGTGGATTTATTATTCTAAGTTTCTAAAACAGTTCTGGCATGTACCAGGAGCTCAGTAAATTAGTGAATATGCAATGTTACTGTAAAATGGAAAGGTATAGGGACACCTGAGTGGCAGAGTCGGTTGGGCGCCCTACTTGGTTTCCACTTGGATTGTGGTCTTGGGATCAAGCCCCGCCTCAGGCTCCGTGCTTGGTGCACAGTCTGCTTAGATGCTCCCTCTGTTCCTCCCCTCCGAGAACGTGCATGCGCGTGCTCTCTCTCTTTCAAATAAATAAATAAATCTTAAAAAAAAAGGAAAGGTATAGTGAAACCATAATCACTCTGAATACATTCAGGGTTTATGTTGACAATCCCTAGACTGTGCAGTTTCCTTAAACCCCAAATGACAGGATACTTGAACTGAAAGACACCTGCAAGTTGAGAATGTAAAAGGCTTTTTACTGAAAGTAAAGTAATTCCTCCCTAATGTTTCTGGTGACCATCTATCAGATTCCTGATGGAGGAGGAGCTTGGGATGAGGTTGAGGAGAAACCTCGTGGGAGAATACTTTAACAGTGATGTCATCATAACTCATTTGTGAGTGAAATGACAAGCCAGCTCTTTCACAATCAGGATAACCCAGAGACAAATTTGTTTGCAAAAGCTGGGGAAAATAATGGCACCATTCTCCCACATTGTCTGACCATTAGTTTCACTTAAGCTCATAGTATAGGCCACCAGATTAGGTAAGAAAAAGATAAGTGTTAGAGATAAAGAAGAAAATAATGATTATATGAAGGGTCGATATTTGGGAGGGGAGGGGATTGATTTGCTAGAATACTTGTGTTTACAGCCCTAAGTTATGTTTGCACTATGAAGTATCTTTTAAAAGCCACATAAAAAGACATTCAGCTCAAAATCAGATGCTGCCTAATGCCCCAAACCAGGATCACAGGGTACCTCATTAAAATACATGGACCTCCTATAAACCTGTTCATTAGAGCATGGAATTCAGTAAGAATCAGTTGGATCTTGGATCCCATCCAGTGCATTATAGTTTTTGAAGGCTCAACAAGATTTCAGTTTAAGGTGGTTCCATTTTTAAAGTTTGAACAATGGGTGCCTGGGTGGCTCAGTTGGTTGGGCGATGGCCTTCGGCTCAGGTCATGATCCTGGAGTCCCGGGACCGAGTTCCGCATCGGGCTTCCCACTCAGCGGGGAGTCTGTTTCTCCCTCTGATCCTACCCCCTCTCATGCTCTCTCTTTCTCATTCTCTCTCAAATAAGTAAGTAAAATCTTTTTTAAAAAAGTTTGAGCAAGGTTTCAGAATAAGTTTTCTTCATTTCTTAAGTTTTTCAGGGGTGATATAAGTTATATGGACTCATAAGAATTTCAAATATATAGAACTGTATAAAGAAAAGAAGGCGATCCTACACCTACATATAAGCACTATTGATATTTTGATGAAAATCCTTCCAGACATCTTTCCACATGTGTGAACAGTACATGTATATGTTTTTGTCACTCTCATGAAAAGGGGTTATAGTGATGCTCTTAGGGTGAGGGGAAGACTCTTTTTTTTTTTTTTTAAGATTTTATTTATTTGACAGAGAGAGCACAAGCAGAGGGAGAGAGAGGGAGAAGCAGGTTTTCTGCTGAGCAAGGAGCCTGATGTGGGACTCGATCCCAGGACCCTGGGATCATGACCTGGGCCAAAGGCAGCCGCTTACCTGACTGAGCCACCCAGGCGTCCCAACTGTATCATTTTCAATAAGAGTGATCAGTACATAGAAGAAAGGAAATTAACTTCAACATCTAAGCACCTAAAACAGTGCAAACATCAGTGTTTCATTAAACATTTTGAGAATAATCTTCAACTATCAGGAAAAATGAAATAATTCTGAAATATATTGTGGGTTCTGAGTCAAACTGAATGCCATGTAGGGGTGTAGAGTCTTTACTAATCCAGCCAGGTATCCAGGTGAGAGTACTGTGGTAACTGGAGAGGTCTAATTATAGGACTAAAACAGAACACTGTTAACTTTCCACCTCTCTCAAATCTCAGGTAAATTACAAACAGATGTCTATTCACAGTTCTTCAGCCATTATGGATGGCCAGTTAGATTGGCGTATGGACGTCATTGACATCAATTCAAGTGAAACTGCTGCTCTTTTTCATAAGGCCATGAAATAGGCTGTGTATGTGTGTCTGTCTTAATATATGTGCAGTCATCAGTTCAGTGATGCTACTGTGTGACTGAGTGAACTTCTGAGTAGATCATGAAGGGTCCTTTTACGCTACTATAATATTCACGAGTAGTCATTTAGAATGCCTTTAATTTCCTCTGATTGGTAGCCCAATACTTGGTATACTGCCTTAAATGTTCACAAAGCAAGTCTCTGCCATTGGCCATGACTGGAAACTTAGGAATTTCTGCTGAAGTTCTTGTGATCTAATCCTCTCTTGAAAACACAGAACTAAAGCATGTATTGAAATGCCTGAGTCAGCCGTTCCAGGGATATACTGGCTGCACTCTTGCTTATTTTTCTGGGATGAAAAAATCTCCTTGGTGACCTGAGGCAGCTAGCTTTTACCTTCTCCACCTAGAAATGCATGTGTTATAACTGCACAGAAAACACACATACACATATACAAACACACATAAACTATATCTAAATTCTGATATTAGCATTATTATATTTTCTAGGATTTTAAAAAATATTTTATATTTTCTAGGATTATGCTTAATTTCAGCAGATCTTGTTTAATAACTTATAAGAAAATAATTTCACCTAGTTTCTACTAATTGCTATTAAAATTTTTTAACTTTTCTAACTGTTTAGTTTAGGGAAGGAAAAGAAAGACATGTTGGACACCTGGCATGCGTCGTGACGTTGGGTGTAGAGATTACTGAAACTTTTACTTTTACTTGTTTAGTGTTACTTCTATTTTATAGATGAGGACCTCAGAACAGTCAAGTAACTCTGAGGTAGAAAACACAGTTGGTATTTGAACCAGGTACATCTGAGGCAAAAGGTCTATAACCTCATCATGCTATAGAATGAACTGCAGAATGCTGGGCTTATAAAAAACTATATCAATATTATTAAGTAAAAAAAGCAAGGTTCAGAGCAATAAGCAATATACTACCATTATGTGAAGTGTATGTATGAATACATATGTACATGTGTGTGTTTATTTTTACATATGCTTAGCATATCTAGCATATGTCTGGAAGACCATATAATGGTTGCCTCCAGGGATGGGAATTGGGCTGCTAGAAATCTAGATGTTTTGGGGCACCTGGGTGGCTCAGTCGGTTAAGTGTCTGCCTTTGGTTCAGGTCATGATCCCAGGGTCCTGGGATCTAGCCCCGCGTAGGGCTCCCTGCTCCGCGGGAAGCCTTCTCCCTCTCCCACTCCCCCTGCTTGTGTTCCCTCTCTCTGTCAAATAAATAAATAAAATCTTAAAAAAAAAAAAAAAAAAGAGGGCCCATTTGCCCTCAGGCCTAAGTCTCAACGTCTGGAACAAAGTAGCTCTTGTGTGACAGGGAAGAGAGGAGCCCTGGGGACAGGAGTCCCACCTGGAAGAAGAGCTCATCTAACAGGAACCACCCTCACCACAGCTTCAGAACATGCAGAAGAACCCAGAAAGGAGTGGGTCCTAATTTGCTCCACCAGAAGCAGTTCTTACTTACCTTGTCCAGAAAGAGCCAGACTTCGTGATGTCACCACATCCAGAAGCTATCACAGACTGTGTGACAGTGGAAACTGGACCAGCTTGCAGAAGCTTATCCGTCACAGTTCTCTGTAGTCTCCCAACAACAGCAGAAAATGAACACATCTCAGGCATCAGTGTCATTCAAGGACGTGACTGTGGAATTCACCCAAAAGGAGTGGCAGCAAATGGGTCCTATTCAGAGGACCCTGTATAGAGATGTGATGCTGGAGAACTACAACAACCTAGTTTCAGTGGGGAACTGCATTTTCAAACCTGCAGTAATCTTCAAGTTGGAGCAAGGAGAGGAGCCTTGGTTCTTAGAGGAAGAATTCTCAAACCAGAGCCACCAAGAAGATTACAGAGATGATGACCTGATGAAGAGGAACAAGAAAATCCAAGATAAACACTTGCAGGAAATAATATTCATCGATAATAAACCATTGCCTGGAGAGGAAGAAGAAGTTTTGGGAAAACAGTTTAATCTGCACATAGCTCCTGTTTCAACAAAAATATCCTGTAAATATGACTCATGGGGAGTAAATTTGCAAAATATTTCCCAACTTATTAATAATAGAACCTATCCAACAAAAAAAAAAAGAAAGAGAAAGAAATCTGGATGTTTTATTATAAAATCCTTTCGGGGCACCTGGGTGGCTCAATTGGTTAAACATCGTGACCTGAGCAGAAATCAAGACTTAGCCAATTAATCGACTGAGCCACCCAGGCACCCTGGCGTGTAAAGCTTCCAGTGCTGTAGAATATTAATACTATTATGATATTGATAAGCATTGATAATAATTATATCTTTCTAGTTTTTCAATTCCTATGATACTACTCTAATGACCTACACAGTAGAATTTGAGAGTGAGAGGCACCTGGGCGGCTCAGTCGGTTAAGCATCTGCCTTTGGCTTAGGTTGTGATCATGGGTTCCTGGGATCGAGCCCCACACTGGGCTCCCTGCTCCGCGGGGAGCCTGCTTCTCCCTCTCCCTCTGCCTGCTGCTCCCCCTGCTTGTGCTCTTTCTCTCTGTCAAATAAATAAATAAAATCTTTAAAAAAAAAAAAGAATTTGAGAGGGAAGTAGAATACTGATATAATATATCATGATAGCAGAGGTAATGATGACTACATTCTGCATTCAACTATTTACATTTTTAATGCCACTTGAAATTTTAATAATCCTCGGTTTATCTGTTTTTTGAAACAAGAACACCATGCCTCAAATGACAGCAGTTGCCAGTCATGACTGAGGTCAAAGGAGTATTTTATGGGTCTTAAAATTGAACTTAAAAAGAAAAAAGTTTGTCATATACTAAAAGCTATGTTTTAATTTGGAGCTACCATTAATCAAAATACCTTACCTTGAATACACTTTATTTTTGTATTTGTTTAATGATCTGTTTATAAAGCTGTCTCCCTTACTAAATTAGACAGGGTCCACGCTTCTTCATTTGTTACCGTATTTTTAGTGGGTAGCCTAATGCCTGGCAGTTGGTAGGTAGCTAAAAATATTGGTTGAGCTGAATTGAATTGAACTAGAGATATTTAGCTTAGTTGGGAGAAGAGAGAGAGAAATAATCTCAGTTTTTAGATAATTGAAATGTTTTCATGTGAAAGAGGTTGAGTTTTTTTCTGTATGCTTCAGTAGACTGCAAACCAGTGGGTGGAAGTTTCAAGAATTTTCTGAATGTTGAGTTGTCTAAAGCTAAGTGGCCCTGTCTCAGGAGATACTGATTCTGTTACCAGGAGATTCACTCATGGCCGGTCAACTATGGAAGTAATTCAAGTATTTAATTGTTCACTGGTTTCTTTCTTTTTCACATCTTGGGGAATTTTTTAAATTTTATTTTTTAAAGATATTTATTTATTTGAGAGAGAGAAAGCACGTGCAGGGGAAGGGGCAGAGGGAGAAGCAGGCTCCCTCCTGAGCACAGAGCCCAATGCAGGGATCCATTCCAGGACACTGAAATCATGGCCTGAGCCGAAGTCAGATGCTTAACCAAATGAGCCACCCAGGCACCCCCATTTGTTTCTTTACTCATTTCTGCAAACATGTATTGAGCACACACTGTCCTAGGTGTTGGATACTAAGACTGAATACATCATAATTTCTGCCTTCGAAGAACTCAGACCCAGCAGGTGAATGGAATTTTAGCAAAGGATTACAACCCAGGGTGCTAAGAGGTTGTTACAGAGGTGTAATGGTAATACCCTGGAGAGTTAACAGGAAAGGTTGCTGAGGAGGTGACTCTGAAGTAGAGTTGACCAGGCAGATAGAGAGAGAGGAGTCCTAAGCAGAAGGAAAAATACATGCAAAAGCACAGAAGTTAAACTTTTTAGAATACAGTGGTATTTCATTTGGATTAGGTAGCCCTAAAATACCTCCAATCCTAAGATTCTGTGTTCTGGCTCTTTAACTTAGTGTCTTTTTTCACTTCCTGGCAGATATTACATGTATGTATGTATTTCAGTTGTCTTTTTTCATAGGAAGCAAAAACAGTAACCTTCTTCTTTGATTTTTGTTCGTAGTCAAGTTCATCCGAGAAGTAACACCATATATCAAGAAGCCATCATTAGTATCAGATCTACCATGGGAAGGTGCATCTCCTCAGTCACCAAGCTTTAGTGGCAGTGAGGACTCTGGTTCTCCAAAACACCAGAACAGCACCAAGGACAGGAAGGTCATCCCTCTCAAAATGTGCTTTGCTGCTAGAAACCTAAGCATGCCGGATCTGGAAAACAGGTGAGCTGTACCTAAGGAGAATATCAAACTTAAGGCTTTACAACTTAGGGACATGTTGTAATATTGCTAATGCATATTATTAATAATATGACTGTTGACTACATTATACAGAGGAAAACATCAGCCTGAGATGAAAGAATAATTTTTGGAGTTCCATATTTAAATTACTTCACACATATATGTACATATACATATATAGAAAAATTTGGGACAAACACACAAGAAATTTAATGCTGGTTACTCCCAGGGAGTGAAATAAGATTAGAAAGTAGAAGGAGAGAAGGGGCTTCTACTCTTCATTTTATACTTTCCTGGAGTTTTAGTACTTTTCTCACTATGAAGTTACTTTATAATTTTAAAAACATTATTAAAGAAATCTTAAATGTCCCCTCAGATGGAAACTCCTTATATTGTAGATAACATAGAGTCAGAGATCTGATTATAGATATGGCTGCATCAACTAGCAGTGGTACCCTGGCAAGTTGGCATCTCTTGACTTGAGTTTCCTTATTTGTAAAAAGAGAGAGTTGGATTGAATAATTTCTTATGTCCCTCATAGTTCTATAACCAGTTGGGGTCTCTGACTCTGTCTTCAGTGATTGCATGAAGTGGTACTGGTAAACCTAGTTAGACTAGACATTAGGGGGAAAAAGGGAGAGAGAGAGAGATGAACTTATCTAGAGACCTAGGCAAGGGCCAGGCTTTTTATAATGTACTTTCACTTTTATGGTCTCTTCTGATCTGAATGCACAGCCAGGTGTCCAGTCAGGATGGGATGGATCACAAGAAGACAGCAAGAGGTTGAGTGACCGTGGACATTTTTTTAAAAGTTTATTTATTTTTTTGAGAGAGAGCATGAGCAGGGGGAGGAGCAGAGGGAGGAGCAGACTCCCCACTGAGCAGGGAGCCCGATGCAGGGCTCGTCCCAGGACCCCGGGATAATGACCCAAGCCAAAGGCAGACGCTTAACCAACTGAGCCACCCAGGCGCCCCAACATTGGGCATTTTAGGCCATAGGGACATTACAGATCCTACTCTGTAATATGTTGTGTGGTACACTAGAAAGAGTTGAGCTCTGCAATCAGATAGACCTTCTTGTGGAAATCAGACAATCCTAATTAGGGTGACCTGCTGAAAAGAAGGCTCTAAGCAAATACTTTCACCTCCATAAACCACTATATCCTTATCTCTTTAAAAAAAAAAAAGAAAGATAGGCACCTGGGTGGCTCATTTGGTTAAGTGTCTGCCTTCGGCTCAGGGCATGATCCCAGGGTCCTGGGATTAAGTACGCATTGGGCTCCTTGCTCGGCAGGGAGCCTGCTTCTCCCTCTCCTTCTACCATTCCGCCTGCTTGAGTTCTCTTGTGTGCTCTCTCTGTCAAATAAATAAATAAATAAAGTCTTTTTAAAAAATTTAAAAAAAAAGAATACTCAGTGTGCAGATTAAATGAGACAATACATATGAAGCCCTTTGCACAGAGCCAGGTTCTTTGCACAGAACATAGTAGTTTCTTAAGAAAGAGTAGCTTAGGGCGCCTGGGTGGCTCAGTTGGTTGAGCGACTGCCTTCGGCTCAGGTCATGATCCTGGAGTCCCGGGATCGAGTCCCGCATCGGGCTCCTTGCTCGGCGGGGAGTCTGCTTCTCCCTCTGACCCTCCTCCCTCTCATGCTCTCTGTCTCTCATTCTCTCTCTCTCAAATAAATAAAGAAAATCTTT